AAATATCATACAAGCAACATAATAGTAAACCTGAAAGCTCTGGGTAAATAAATAAAAAGAAAAAAGAATTAATCACACTAAGATGAGAAGACAGTAAGAAAGTTTCAAAATAAGGCTGAAATCATAAAATATAAACAAAGAAAACAATTCTGAGTATCAGAGAAACATAGAGCTTGTTGTAGAAGAAAAACAACAAAATAGACAAACCCTTATCCAAAGTAACTAAAAGATACAGAGAGAAAATCCAAATTAACAAAATCAAAATGAAAACTGGGGCATAACAACAGTGATATTAAAAATGGACTATAGGAGTCCATTTTTATCCGTGTCAAGGGATGCTCTCTCAGCCTGGACACACTAATCAAACAAGTAAAAGACTTGTATCATAAAAGTGAAAGAATTGTATAATAAAATGTATATGTCTTTGAAGAAAGAAATTGAAGAATATATCAGAAGATGGGAAGATCTCCCATGCTCATGGGTAGGTAGGATTGACATAGTAAAAAAATGGCCATTTTACCAAAAGCAATCTACAGATTCAATGCAATCAAATTAAAATCCCAGCACTATTCTTTGTAGACCTTGACAGACCCAGTCTCAACTTTGTATGAAAAAGCCAAATCCGGGGGATTGGGGAAGCATAGATCTCATTGGGAAGGAGAAACAAAAGAGATTCTGTAGATGGATTGGTGTTATATAGAGGGATCAACTGGAGGAGGGATAGAGATAGAGTATAGGAAGAGAAATCTGAAATTGGGGACACTTGAGGACTAATGTGGAAATGTAGTGCGTGAAAACTCCCTGGAATCTATAAGTGATGGGAGTGCATTCTCTAAATATGTCTGTATTACTGGTTGATGAATAAAACACTGTTAACTAATAGAGATGCAAAATAGGTGGGACTAGGAGACAAGGAAGATTCTCAGAAGTGTAGTAAGGAGAGGTCATCATGTGATACCTGGAGAAGAGGATGCATGAGTCTGGCTTTTTTGGTAAGATAAATCCACAAGGAAATACATAGATTATAAGAAGTGGCAGGATAAAAGATTAAGTCAAAAAACTCAGTAGTGCTACAATACAGGCAGTAAATGGCCTGATAAAGAAATCAGAGAAACATCACAGTTTACAATAGCCACAAACAAAATAAAATATATTGGGGTAACGCTATAACCAAACAAATGAAAGACCTGTGTAGCAAGAACTTTGAGTCTTTAAAGAAAGATTTAAAGAAGATACCAGAAAATGGAAAGATCTTGCATGGTCTTGGATAGTTAGAAACAACGTAGTAAAAATGGCAATCTTGCCAAAAGAAATCTATACATTCATTACAAGCCCGTCAAAATACTAGCACAATTCTTCACATACTTTGAAAGAACATTAATCAACTATATAGGGAAAAGCAATAAAACCCATGATAGGCAAAACAACCCTGTACAATAAAGAAACATCCGGAGGCATCACCATACCGGACTTCAAGCTCTGTCATAGAAATGTAGTCCTGAAAACAGCTTGGTATTGGCAAAAAATAGACAGACAAATGGAATCAAATTGAAAACCCTGATATTAATCCATACACCTAAGAACACCTGATTTTTGACAAAAAAACTAAAATTATACAATGGAAAAAAGAAAGCATCTTCAACAAATGATGCTGGCATAACTCGATGCTGGCATGTAGAAGATAGATCCATGTTTATCAGTATGCACAAAATTTAAGTCTAAATGGATCAAAGACCTCAACATAAATCCAGCCACACTGAACCTCATAGAAGAAAAAGTGGGAAGTACCCTTGAACAAATTGGTATAGGAGATTGCTTCCTGAACATAACACCAGTAGCACATAAGTTGAGATCCACAATTAATCTATGGGACCTCCTGAAACTGAGAAGAATCTGTAAGGCAAAGGACACAATCAACAAGACAAAATGGCAGCCCACAGATTGTGAAAAGATATTCACCAACGCCACACCTGACAGTGGCTGAATTCTAAAATTTACAAGGAATTCAAGAAGCTAGCCTCCAAAACACCAAATAATCCAATTAAAAAGTGAGGTACAGAACTAAATAGAGAATTCTCAATAGATGTGTCTAAAATGATTGATAGATACCTAAGAAAGTGCTCAACATCCTTAGCCATCAGGGAAATGAAAATCAAAACAACTCTGAGATACCATCTTACTTCTGCCAGAATGGCTAAAATCAAAAACACCAATGACAGTTTATACTGGAGCGGATGTGGAGAAAGTAGAACACTCCTCCACTGCTGGTGGGAGAAAATGGGAATCAGTCTTCGATGAGATCCAGCAATTCCACTCTTAGGCATATACCCAAAAGATGCATATTCATACAAGAAGGATGTCTGTTCAACTATGTTCATAGCAGCATTATTTGTAATAGCCAGAACCTGGAAGCAACCTAGATGCCCCTCCTCTGAAAATGGATAGAAAACATGTGGTACATTTACACAATAAAGTACTGACTGATGATGGGGGAAGTCCTGTACATTTGTTAATAAAGCGCTGTTGAGCCAATAGGAATCTAGATAGGTGGGACTAGGAGTCGAGGAGGATTCTGGGAAGGAGAAACACTGGAGAGTCAACATGTAACCGCCATGGGGTAGGAGCCCGGAACTCTTATTCTCCGGTAAGAGACATACTTAGATTAACAATTATGGGGTAATTACTTAAAGCAGAGCCAGCCAGTAAGAGACAAGCAAGGCCAACAGCTTCATAACTAATATACCCTCCTGTGTGTTTATTTGGGACTGATGCGGCTCTAGAACCAGGCTGGCAGGAAGGCTTTCCTCTCAAAGAAAAAGGCTTCTCTTAAGAGACTGAGAACTAGGAAACTAGCATGGGACTGATCCAGGCCCCCTGAAAGTGGGTGTCAGTGAGGAAGCCTCTGGTTGTAGATCAGTTACCCCTAGCAAAAGAATGGTCTTTGAGAGGTCATTCCACATAGAGGGATACTCTCTCAGCCTAGAAACACAAGGGAGGGCCTAGCTCCTGCTTCAAATGATATGACAGACTTTTTAAGATCCCCCATGGAAGGCCTCACCCTCCCTGGGGAGCAGAAAGGGGATTGGATAGGTAATTAGTTGGAGGCAGTAAAGAGGGGAGGGAGAGGGAACTGGGATTATTATTTAAACAAGTTTGTTCCTAATTTAAATTAAAAAATAGAGGAAAAATAAGTTAAGAAAAAAGATAATAAGAACCTGAAGTCACCAGGCAAATCTTTGCACTAATTTAGCATTCATGTGTTTTGTTCTGTTTTGTTTTTCTGTTGTTGTTTTTGGCAGAGAATGTTGTGGGATCTGCCAGGCCAAGGAATCTTCATGTTATAAATGGTGACCAATGTGGGACAGGAATTTCAGCTTTACAAAAGCTTAAAAAGGGATTTTAGAAATGAAACAACAGAGAAAAGCATGGCTTCTTGGTGGCAGCATTTTCTCTGCTAGAGATAAGCAGAGACTTGTGCAGCTCTTTTAAAGGAAGTTTCCTGACTCAGAATAAACATAAAAACCACAGGGCACTTTTAAAAGGTCCTGGTAACAATTGACAGGTGTGTATGAGCATCTGGAAGTGGAAGTGACCACATTCAAGCCAGCAGCATGCTTTTTCATGGCAGCATAATCCAAGACAGTTAGCACAGCTCTCAGTGTTGGTGGCAAATGTATCCCTGCCATATTAAAGATCCGTGGCTAGAAAAAAGTTAGCTATATACAGTAAAGACAGATTCAGATGAAGTATAACCTCTAAAAGTTTACAGTGTGTTTAAAAATGTACATAGGCTTGGGAGAGGAAAGCAAAGGAAAAAAAAGAGACAGAGTAGCTGTATGTGGTGGCACACACCTTTCATCCCAGCACTCAGGAGGCAGAGGCAAGCAGAGCTCTATGATTTCAAGGCCAGCCTGGTGTACAGAGTGAGTTCACAGGCAGTCAAAGTTACACAGAAAAACCCTGTCTCAAAAAAGGAAATAAAAGGTAGTAAAAGAAATAAAATAATAAGAAAGCCATGAAAAATACAGAGAGAGTCTGGATACTGTATACTATTGTCTTATCTTTGAGTTGTTTGACAGCTGAGGAAATAGCAACAACTGCTAAAAAAATTGCTTCTGGATTAATCTAATTTATATATTTTAAAAATGCCTTGACTTCAAAAGTATAAGGATATGTTACTTTGGAAAAGAGATTTTATATGTGTCTCCACAGAAAATGAAAATCTGTGCATTCCTTCTAGACTAATATGGTTTGATGAAACAAGACCCCCTGAAGCAGTGACCCAGGTGATCAAACATTCAAAACATTAATGCAAAGCTAAATATTCAGGGTTCAGCGATTGCATTCACATAGATATTTAACTCCAGCTTGGTTTTACACTTTAGAAATCATCAATCATCAATCATCACCATCATCATCATCATCATCATCATCATGTGTGTTTATGTTCACACCTATGCTCCTAAGCCCATACATGTCACAGCAGGTACCTAAAAATCAGAAGACAACTTTCAGGGGTAGATTCTCTACTATGGTAAGTAGTTTTACCCACTGAGTCACCTTACCAGTCCTTTTTTTCTGTTTCCAGTCCTTTTTTTTTTCAGTTAATTCAACTGACTCTTCTCAGAGCTTATAAGAAAACTTCTGGAATATTTCCATGTCTAATATTTTTAAAGAAAGGTTTGGATAAACAGGACAGTCCCTGCTATACCCTATGCTGTCTCCATGTGAATAGTGTTTCATGGTAGCAAAAAACCCATTTTTAATGTGTTTAGACACTTGAAATTTTTAATTTGCTCTGAAATTTTTCCTTTGGATGGAACTAAATTTCAGGTTATCAAAGTGCTGTGTGTTTTAACAGTGGTATTTGACATTTGTAGAGATGGAGCACACTATTCGTTCTTTGAATAACTGTGTTGTACAGTGGAGAAAGAATGTAAAAGAAACTATTTACTGCATATGGAATGACAAGCACAGTTGGGATCACGCAACTCTTTTACCTCTTGAAATAACTGTTTCTAGCCCTGTTCCATTAATGAAAGCCCGTGTGATGGTTTGTGTTTTGATGTCTGTCCAGTACAAGCGTTCCTCAGAGGCATCGAAGTCTATTACAGCAACATCATCAATATCTGGGACAGTGAAGGCCGTGATGAAGTTCACATACGGATTGTCAATGTCCACTCCTCGGATCTCAGAACGTCTTGCATAAAGAAGAAACTTTTTCATTTCTAGAAAAGTAAATTCATGTGATAGTTTTCCTTATATTGTTGACAAGTTTAAGAGAGTCTAGAAATTCTAAAGTAACAACTTTTAATGACTTCAGTTTTAACACAGAATTAAAAATATCTGGTGGAAACAAAGAATAGTTCATCTATCTAAAAGGTACTCAGAACAAACAGCTAAAAATTCTTTAAGTAATATTATTTAGTTTGACATGTCAAGAAATTCTCAATACTTGATTTTATCTAAGCATAGTTATACGTTGCTTACCCAAGTCAGGTGTGGAGGTACAGGCAGATTTCTGAGTTCCAGGCCATCCGTGGCTACATATTAAGAACCTGTCTCAAAAAAAAAGCCAACACAAATGGAAAACAAGCAAACAAAACCAGAACTTGCTGGATATATATTCTCAACAACCATGTTGCATGTTGGTATATAATTAAAATGCAATTGCCTTTTATTAAATGATTTTTAAAGTACTTAAGAACTTATCCTAAAAATCTTCACTGAATTAAATTAGGCATTATTTTTTCATTCAGTTCATGTATTTCCTATCAAAATTAGAGCTCAAATAGTCTCCAGGTTTTATTGTAATTTTTTGTCCTGTTATTGGGAAGCATTTGGGTACTGTTTTTGCACTGTTTGTGATATAGGAGTTATAGTTATTCTAATATTGGTTGTGGTTGGGTTGCTATTATTTTGAGAAAGCCACTAATCTGTCAGGAAGGTGTCTATGGTACATTCTCTTGTTACAGCACGACTTTTCATATATATTAAGACAGACTGCCTGACATACAACTCTTGGGTTCTTCGCAGGGATCTTTAAAGTCACTAGTAAATTCTATTCTCTAAACTCTCCATTAGCTGATGGGCATTTCTTATTTCTCTGCATGTTTGATCCTGTTAATGGCAATATTAAGAGAGTGTGGGCACAGTGAATGCTGTACCTCTTCATGTCTGTAATATGCATGAACCTATGCCATGAGTATAGAACTTGTTACATAACTTCATTATGGTAAAAGGCAGCACACTCCCCTCCCATCAACATTCCTAAGCCTATGAAAGACAACACCCCAATGTCCCCAGGATGGCACTCTGGTTTGGTGAAGAACTTGCAGTTCCTAATCCCTAATGCTTGGTTCCTCAACCTCTTGTCTTAATTACTGGTTGATGGCCTTCTGTGTCCTTTTATAAGTTATTACTTGACAGAAACATGAACCTGGATCAGTGGAATCTGGTCACACCCTATAATAAGTGCAAAGAATTAAAGCCACTAGTAATAGACTCATAATTTAACTTCTGATATATGATTTCATTTTCTACCCTATAGATTAAGTAACTACAAAGAAAAATATATTATTTATTTCATATATATATATTTATATACACACACACACATATATATTTGTTTGTTTGTTTGTTTTTCATTTTCCCCTTCAGGTTGATAACACCCTGTTAAATGAACAGGAAATTAAAGCTGATGAGTACTTCCTAAGTCATCACTTCCTTGAAGCACACATATACTTACACATCTCCCTGTTTCACAGAGATAAATTTTGCTGACTTATTAAATAAGAAAGTAACAAGAAAAATAAATGAATAAGGTAATAAACAGCAAATGTCACATACCACATTTTAAAGGATTGTCAGTTTCCCCAGAAATAGCTGAATCCTTAATAGTGGCTGCCAGCAGCTGCCAGCAGCCCCAGCTGATGTGTTCTTAAAGACATGCAAAACCTCTTCCCCTTCACTCTGTAAAATCTGAATGCCTGCAGAATCAGAACTATTTCCATTCTGCTTTGGCTAGCAACTGTGGGAAACTTACCATAGCAGGTCTTCTTGTTGGGGGAAAGCTTCATCAGGTGGGGGCAGGCACAGGCTGCACTCCTGTTATGATTGATGAGACACAGGTGAGAGCAGGGGCCTCTACCCTCATTGGCTGCACAAGGATTGGAAGCTGCCAAAGACACAGTGAAAAAGCAACAGTCAACCGGGAGAATGTCAGGAACCCTCTGAAGTTGATTCACATAATGATTCAAAGTAAAGCTTTCCTCGCTTAGCCTGCAGAGTTACTGTGAGAAAGGCAGGCAGTTAGCTCTACACATCACTTGAAACCTTCATTGCCCTAAATTTCACAGCTCAGAAAATTTTCTTAATTTTCTTCTTACTTCAGCTTCAAAAAATCTTAAAAATTAGAGAAAGTATATGTGTTGCCAAAGCAAGCACAATCCAGATGCCCCTCAGCTGAAGAGTGGATAGAGAAAATGTGGTACATTTACACAATGGAGTACTACTCAGCAGATAAAAAAAACAATGGAATCTTGAAATTTGCAGGCAACTGGATGGCACTAGATGAAACTATCCTGAGTGAGGTAACCTAGTCACAAAAAGACAAGTATGGTATGTACTTACTCATATATGGATTTTAGACATGAAGTAGGGGAGTGCCAGCCTACAATCTCACCACCAGAGAGTCTGGGAAACAGGGAGGACCCTAAGAGAGATATGTATGGTACCCCAGAGAAGGGGCATGGGACAGGATCTCCCGAGTGGTGTAGAAGCATGGGGGAGGGGAGAGGAAGCTTGGGAAAGGTGAGGAGAAGAAGAGAAGGGGAGAGGAGAACATGGGGGAGCAGGAAGGTTGAATCAGGGGAAGAATAGAGGAGAGCAGGGTGAGAGACACCATAATAGAAGGAGTAATTACAGGTTTGAGTAGAGATCTGGCACTAGTGATATTTTCAGAGGTCTACAAGGATGATACCAACTGGCAATCTAAGCAATAGTGGAGAGGCTAACTTAAATGCCCTTCCCCAATAATGAAATTGATGACTACTTTGTATACTATCCTAGAGCCTTCATTAATGGCTGACAGAAGCAGACGCAAACACCCACAGCTAAACATTGAATTGAACTCCTGGAAACAAGTTGCAGAAAGGGAGGAATTGATGAGCAACGGGTCAAGACCAGGAGGGTGAAACCCACAGAAACAATAGACCTGAACAAGGGGGAGCTAGTGAACCCCAGATTGACTGATGGCTAAGAGCCCAGCATGGGACTGATGCAGACTCCCTGAATGTGTGAGGAGGCCTCGGCAATCTTTGGGCTCTCGGGTACTAGATCAGTATTTATCCGTAGCATCCAAGTGGACTTTGGGAGACCATTCCACATGCAGGGATGCCTAGGCCCTGTCAGACATGACATGACAGACTCTGGAGATCCCCCATGGAGGGCCTCACCCTCCCTGGGGAGCACAGTATGGATTATGTGGGGATTTGGGGGAGTTCTGGGGGAGCAGAGGAGGGAAAGGAGAGGAAGCTGCGATTGACTTGTTAAGCAAGCTTGTTTCTCATTTAAATAAAAAAGATTCTCTTAAAGAACAAAAAGATTTAGCAAGAGAAAATATCAGGAAAAACTGCTATACTAACTTATACTAATGAAATATATTATATATCCTAACATATAGCAATAAAACTCCCATCATAGAGTTCTGATGGATGACTTCAAGTTCCTAACGTGCCTCAGATACTGACTTCTGGTCTAAGCATACCACTCTAACAAATGTGCACGGACCTGCTATAATAGACATCCCCCTTTCTCCCACCTTCCCTAGGTACATAACACATATTAATCAAACTCACAACCCTGAGGAACTTCCCTGGTTTCTCCATCATAATTAGGGGTGAGGTTTTAATTTTATGCTTATTTAGTGAGTGTGTTGACATGATCTGACATGTGTGACTGTGTGGCACGAATGAGGAAACCAGAGGAGAGTCTGCAGAAACTGATTCTCTCATTCCACCCTATGTTCTGCATTGATTAAATTCAGATCATCACAGCCTGTGGAAAGTGACTTCACAAGCTGAAACATCTCTCCTGCCCCACAGATGTTTGTCAATTGATGAACAACTGTTATCTTAATTCTTTTATTTTAGTAGATCTTATCTACTTATTTAATAGAATATGCATTACTCCATCATTTCTGTTATTTATTCATTATAACAGAATAAGGTCTTTAGATCTAGGCTGTGAAATGGAAGGCAGAAACAGTTATGCCTTCTTACTGCACTAGTAGGAGTTTAGCTTTCAGCTAATGAATAGTACCTTTCTCACAGGTGGACTTATGCTCTGGGTAGACAGAGTTCAAGGCATACCACCAAAACTGTATGCAATGGCACACTGAAAAAGGGAAGACACAAAGAAGTCTCTCTGACCTTCTCTGTCCACTTTTCCCTTAAGATAGGTAATAAAACCTAGGTCAGATTTTTTTAAACCTTTCCCTACATGCAGTTCTATGACTGTCCTTTGAGAGATGTATTTCAAATCTCCAGAGAAAATGTATGTCTTTATCTCCACAGAAGAGTGCTAATAGACCAGCCTCAGAATGCTCCCACCTAGAGCCCTGCCCATTGTTTTCTTCCAGTGTCCTCACTTCATCAAATACAGATGAAAATGCATAGCTTGTAGCATCTCTTTTTCTCAGAAACTCCTTACTAATAAAACTTGATTCAAATGAGTTTATAAAATTCTTTCATTTTTGTGATGGCAGCTTCAATTGTGAACCAGGAAGGGATATAAAAATTTCATTTTTCTCATCCCCAAGTAGATCACATTAGTGGTATAGGGTTTTGAACCACAAAGAATAAAAAAAGTCAGAATATATAACCAATATAGAGATGTGAGAAACTAGCTGTATACTCAGTATACATTTGCCAGTTCATTATCTCCCCACATGAGGAAGGCAAAGCAGGACTTTCCTTTGTACTTGTTAACAATAAACTTTTTTTAAAAAATGGGAATAAAGTTGCTGAACCAAATCATCTGCTAAGAAAATCTGATAACAAAAGAAACCAATAGGAAAGCCTAGAAGCTGTGGGCCTGAGGACTGACTCCTGCAATCTGCTTTTCTGGACACTTCAGTTTGTATCAGTTTGTGTTAATCAGAGTCCCAAAGGGATTGGTAGAGTTATAGAATGAAGTCAGCAGATGTGCAGGGGTGCTGCAGGAGAGGAGGTCTTGGAGGAAGACACGGCCTAAATGTGTTCCAGCACTTAGGGCCAGGGATCCCAGTGGCTTCCATGGAAAGAGACCTCAAACTTCCCCACGCTTGAAAAAAAGAAAAACAATGAGGAGAAAATGAAATAGAAAACATATGGACAGCCATGAGGTGACGAGAGAAAAATGGGTTTTTAAAATTATATTGAACCTAAAGATGACTCCACTTGGAGCAATTAAAAGCAGAATCTCTAACAGTCCTGTGGTAGTTACTTGATTTCCCTCAATTTTTAATTTTTAGTTTAGAATAATTCTTACTCTTCTCAGCATGCTACAATTATAAACTCCCTTTAAAAATATCAAATATATTAAAATTCTATGTACTTAGAATAAAAACTCACACTGATTTTATAGCCTAGTGTCTATATTAATGGCAAGGCTATAATGTATAATTCACAATATTTTCTGCTTCACAGCTTGGAAAATCCACAAAGAAATCTTGCCTTTCAATTTAATATCATTTCACTTTGAAATAATACTGCTAAGACTTTTAAAAGTTTCTTTCTTAGTGAACATCCGAGCATAGCTATCTATTCTAATGACTCAGTTGAGGAATTTGGTTCACAATACTCCTTTCATAACATAAAGGGGAGGTTAACACGTGGTGACCCACAACCAAATCCGGTCTACTGGATTTGTAAAATTGAATAAATTATAGCTGAGCCTATTAATTGCATATTATCATGGCTGCATCAGTACTGTACAAAGAGTTTATCGATATTGGCAGAGGCTTCCTGCTCCACAAAACCTTCAGGTATTTCTATTTAGAAATGTTTTGTCAACCCTTGATAGAAAACAATTATTGGTTTTCTTCCAAACACTATTACAAAATCCATTATCAATACAGAGGTTGTGATCTCCCCCAATACTGTTTCTTTGTGTCCAAGAGAGAGAAAGAGTTGATCACCATGGAGTTCTACAAGCACTGACTTCCTTTTACTAAATCCCGTAAGGTCAAACAAAGAGCCTTAGAGATACCTGTGCCATCTCTCCTCATTTAAACAGATTATCAACTGACTGAGCTCACGGTTGTTCCAAGCATAGAACAGCTTGAAAATACGGTGGAAAAGACAATGTTGTTTTTGCACCAAGGAGAATTATGTCCGATTTTAATGCTTGCACAGCGCTCTCTGATTCTGAGACCATGTTCAGAGCATACTCCCTCTATCTTCTGCACAATTGACTGTGTTACTTTAGTAATCTCTTAATTTCTATTTGCTACCAACTTGGTTGTTTTTCTAAAATACAGACCTGACAGGATTGAGGATTCCTATTGTTTCCTCACACATACTCAGTAACACACTTCTGGAATAGTTCTCATAGGTCCACCAATTCCTCATGACCAACCTCTATCTCATTATTCCAACTATGCTAAATTTAAAAAAATCCACCAATCTTCCAAAGAATACAACATTTAAGCTTTGAAGCATTTTTCTCTTTTACTGCTCTCTATATAAGTATTCGTTGTCATTCATATATTTTTCTTAAAATTCGGATGGCATCTGTTGATGGAGGTTTCTGTCCCACCTGTGGGGCAATCATGATTATATTAGACTTAAGAACCTGTGGATCCACTGGTGATTCTCAAATGTATGTGATTTATGATCGGAAATGGCAACAACATAAACACCTGGAAAGTTGGTTAAATCTATTAAACACATAAAGATTAAGGGTGAGAAGAGATAGTCAATAAGACATAAGTAAAAAAGATGGCAGGAGAACGAGTGTTACTCACACATCACATAAATTGGGTTGTGAAAGAAATAATATTGTTAGAGAGAAATTCATATTTCTTGGAAACTCTATTTAATTATACTTCATTTTGCATCAGCAGAGAGCGCCATATAATTACTTTTATCTAGAAATTTCTAAAAAACAGATGCACATGAACTACATATGCTATTT